GTCACTGGCCTAAGCCAGTGACCTGGTTAGGCTGAGTCCTGCACACATGAAGTAACTTCACGCGTGCTGCACTATGCGAAGGTAATTAAGTTACCTTCGCACAGTGTTTTCAAATTCAATATGCAGGGAATGAAAGGAGAAAGGGAAGAGCGTGCGGGAAATGAAATGAGAAAGGAAAGAGCGTACCTGCTTCGGGCGACGCTGATGCGTGCAGCGCTGATGGATTCTCCTACTGCTTCCCCTTATCTTCCTTCTGTGTTCAATTGTCTGCGTGTTCTCTTTGTTTTCACAGCAACTTTTGAAACTGAGAAAATGATGAAAAGGTCGGCCTGCTGGGAATTTGCTTTGATTCTTGATTTTCGTTGTTTGCAGGGACGAAGGCAATGGCAGAGCCAATACTCGTCTCTATGTATTGTTGCTCTCTTATTCTCTCTAACTCCCCGTGTATTATTTCTTTCTCTGTATTTATGCTCTGTTTTTTTGTGTTTCTCCTTTGCTCTGTTTTTGGGTTGTGTTTAGGTTAATTTTCTCTGACTTTTTCCGTTCTCCTGGTTTCGTTGTGTTTTGCTCTTCTTTCCTTGGGTTAATTACCCTGTTTTTTTGGCCTCCCGTTCCTCCCTCACCCCCGGTTTTCTTCTCCCTTTTATAGAGAAATTGGCCCTGCCGCCAGTCCTATCTTTGCAGGACTCTGTTATGGAATCCCTGAACGAGATTATTGGCAACAGATGTTATCCAAGATCGGGTTTGTTGCAGATTATCAGCTCCCCTGCTGAATCGGAAGCTCCCCTGTTGACTCGGGATGGAGAAGACGTGGCAACGGCGGCATTTTGGCTGGAAACGGGAGTTTTCAATTTGACCCCTGGGCTTTGGAAATTCGGCAATTGGATCCCCTAATCAATTAAAATTTCTTTTAATTTTTTTCCGGTTAATTTCAATTAGATCCCTAAATTGATACATTATTTACACAACAGTCCTGAATTTCTAAACTATTCAATTTAGTCCTTGAACTTTAATTTTCCAACAATTTTCTCTAAATAACCTCCAAACTTTGGTATTTCTTCAATTAAACCCCTGATTCTTTTAATTAATTAAGTCAAAGTTTAATTAAGTCCTCAAACTCATTAATTCCTCAATTTCTTTTAATTTAATTAATTAACTTAATCCCAAGCTCAATTAAGTCTCAAAATTTATTAATTCTCCAATTAAACCCTTGATTTAATTAATTAAACTAGTTAAGAGTTTAATTAAATATTTAAACTTTCCAATCATGTTTTCATTAACTCAAATTTTAATTCATTCTTCATTTATTATTTTTTTATCAAAAAATTTTTAGTAAATAAATAAAATCAAAAAATCAAAAATTTGGTTATGACAGTATCCATATGGGGCTTGTGATATCGTGAATCCAAAGAATGACAATGTTTCAAGGTAAATGGACATCTTTTAAAAGTTTACTTTGATAATTTTTCAGTTGAAAATGATTCTATTGAATTGGGTGATCCTGTATATAAAGATTGATTTTTTTTCCTTGCATTGTTTTGTGTTTCTTTTTGAGTGATTTTTGCTAGTTTCTCTCACCCCGGTCAAATGGCGGACAACGGTACTCCATAACTTAAGTCGGTTCTTTGAGTTTCCTATAATAACTGATATCTGTGTATATATTTATGCAATTCTTTGAATCTCTCTTTCAATTCTCATTTAAAAATTGACATTAATCTTGAAAAATTAAAAATTATTTTCTAGTTCTGCCTCAGAATGCGATTACAAAAATTTACCATACTAGATGTGCAAGATTGAGGTTGTTCTTTAGGAATGATATCTATAAACCGTGAAGATAAAATACAATTCATTAAGGATAGCCTGAGTAAGGAGTCTTGCAAAAAACTTCTTTTCTTTCCCAAGACTAAATCCAGCAAAAACACAAATATATATATATATTGAAAAAATAATACAGACATGCATCACTTCGGGTACCAATCTAGTATGTATATATATAGGCACACATAATCTGTCTATTTTTAAAATGTATCTAAAGTGCATGTATAAGTGCAAACGTAGGTGGCTTCCCTATTTGAAATGTATCTATAAGTGCAAAAAAGCAGTCACAATCCAAATACATGTATAATGTGGAACCCTGTTAAGAAAAGTTAGCTTATAGATGGTCATGATCAAAACTTTTGATTGATTGAGTGGAATTATAAATAAGATTGAATCTTATACAGTTTTTGGCAATAATCTTGAATCTGATTTTCGAAAAGATAGAATGTAAACCACATGTTTAATGTATTGGGATGGATTGATTTGAATCATAGACATAGAAAACGATAATTTTTGTTTTTGTTATTGGGATTGATTGATTTGAATTAGAGGCTTCATTAGTGTAATGTATTCTTGTGTATGTCTATGTATGTATTTGAATGTAAGTGATATGCATGAAATAGCAGATAAAGCAGAATTATATTTGAATTAATTCACAGATGAGAGCCTTGCTGAAACAATTTGAGCAGATTTAACAATTTACTTACAAAGATTTCTCAATTTGAACCAATTTAACTAAAAGTATTTTCAACATTTTCTTAAAAAACTTTAAAATTTCAAAGATGTGTGAAATATATTGGACTTTTAACACGTTATTTTTATAATTATTAATTTTCCTCATTTGAATCGATATTCATAAAAATAAAAACCTAATTCTAAACCTAAACCTAAACCTATTTCTTCAAAACCAAAGAAGCCGCAGCCCCCCTTAAAGGCTGATCTGTTTTCTGTTTTCGGAAACAAAGCCGCCGTCCCCTGGGGTCCTTAGTGGTTGCTCTCCCGAAACAAAGCCAAGGAACCCCTACCATTTCATCGTTTTGTCTTCTCCCCTACACTTGCAGCAGCTCCTCCCTCATCACAAACTCCCCTCTTCCTCTAGTGTTCTTTGCCAAAGAAAACCATAGTAGCCTCCTTTTTCCTTGGCCAAATCAGTCGCCTTCCTCCTCATTTCCTTTTCCTAGTTGGTCGCAAGACAGTTCCTCACTCTCCATCCCAGTTGTTCCCTTCCATCACCAACCACTCCCCACGGCACCAGCACAGCACAGAACCGTTTTCCCCGTCTCCATCTACCAGCCTTTTAGAGGCAGTCGGACAATAGCAGCAAGGCCAACCACCGCTGCCACCAACAGGAGTGAAGACCATCCAACAGCACACCCATAGAGCCATCAGCGCCGCCCACACACGGCAGCACTCACACCTAGGAAACACCCCCCTTCTCCTCCATACCGAAGCCTCCAGTCACTAGCGGATCCGCCTGCATCCACCGCGACCCGCCTTCGCCAGATCTGCCATCTGAAGAAGGAAAAAGCAGCAAACCAGGAAGAAAGAAAAAAACTAAAATCAAGTGTGTTGTTGCGATTTTTGGTTTGCGATTTTTGTTTGTTGTTGCAGGTGATTGTGTTCCTCACAACCAGTAAAGAAAGGAAGAGGAGAAGAAGCTGAGCTAGATCATCCACCTTTGGTTTTTTTTCGTGACGGCGCGTGAATTCACATGCCGTCAATGGTGGTGGTGCATGGAAAAGAAACGCCACCACAGTGCATGCAGTTTCAGAAGGCATCCCCAGCACTGTTATGGATATTTGGAGTTTATTTTATAATTTTTTATTGTTTAATTTGTTTGAATTGTTTAATGTGTTGTTTTGATTTATTTTAAATTTTTAGTGATTTTGTAACATGTAAACGTGGTTGTGGGAGAAGAACATAATGAGAAGTGACGTGTGTGTTTGTAATTTTTTTATGTATGTTTTAGAATTATAAAAAAAACAAAAAAGCTGAAAAAGAAAAAAAAATTAAATGTTTCGTTTTTGTTGCAAATGGTTGAGGCAAACGAACTATCATTCACTTTATTATACTAGAAAAAATAAAATAAAATGCCTATACACGGGCCTAGTTTTTGGCCTAGCAGTGCCTAGCTTTATTTTTTTATATTAATATATTTTTTTGTGAATTATAAATAATTTTTAAATTTATATTTTAATTAATATTCTTTCTTTATAATTTCATTAGGTTTTTTAACCACTCATTGAATAGCAAATCTTTTTTAATTATATTGGTTGTGTTTAAGTTTTTTTTTTAATTAGTATAATTAGTCTTTAATTTTTTAATATTTATATAAATTAAATATTTATTTTTCACAATATTTTTAATATTTGTAACTTTGAATATTATATTTTTTTTTTATTTTATTCAATACATTTTGTTTGTGTCAATCTTTATTTCAAATTAATTTTCATAAATAAATTCATTAAACATAACTAGTATGTTAAAATATTAAATATCTTAATATATATTAGTATCTTAATATTTTCAAATATCTTTTTATTTATCATTAATTACTTTTTATTTATTTATTTACATAATGGTTTGTGATTTATTTAATTGAATGCATGCAAAAAAAATTTAATTTACATTTATATTTTTTTTATGTAAAAAAATTCAAAATGTGTTGAAAAATTCTAAATATTCAGGTTTTTTCATCATGTGTTGGTGTTTTTAATTTGATATTTATTCTTATGATTTTTTTTCCTTAACTATTTTATACAAGTTTTATTGTTTTTAATTTTACATTTTAATTTAAATTGATAGTGTATTTTTTTTTTCAATTTTGGTCTAATTCATTAGTATTTTTTGCATGTATGTTTTCTCATTTGCTATCATTTCTTTATATATATATATAATACAAACATGCATCGTTATGCAACGCAGGTAGCTGGGTACCAATCTAGCATGTATATATACAGACACACAAACTACACAACACAGTAACTAGCTAATTAAGTTTCATTTGTTGTAGAATGTGAATTGCTCATGTTCTACATGCAAATAAAAATAAACAAATAAAAACGGCAAGGAATGGAAGAAAGTTACCTGGAGCGGGAAAGCATGGTGGTGGCTTGTAGTTGGGGTGGCAGTGCTAGGAACCCGGGTGGCGTTGCTATAGTGGCAGATGATAGCTGCTACAAGGGGTTGCTTCTTTTTCTTCCTGCTGCCTCTAACCCTCTCCAGTGTTTATCATGTTCTTTGTTGTTTAATCTCTGGCGGTGGCGGTGTTGTTGGTGGTGGCTAGGAGGAATGGTGGAGGCGTAACAGTAGCTCTTCTCCTCCCTCATCTATCTTGCTCTTTCACTCTCCTTTTAGTCTATTTGTATTCTTTTTTTTTTTTGAAAGCTTTCCCCCTATGTTTTGTTCTTTTGGCTTTAATTTTTTTTTTGTTCCTTCACTCTAGTCGGTCTCCAATCTCAAACCATCCTCTCTCGTTCCCTTTCTCTGTTTCTTTTAACTCTCCTGACTTTCTGTCTCTCTTTTCTCTCGGTTTCTCCTCACTTTCCCTTTCAAAAAATCCTTCCTCGCTCTTTTCTTTCTTTTTTCCTCTCCTTCTTCTGCTACACTCCCTTTGTATTTATAGGCAAAGGGAGAGTGAGCCACCATGCCCTGTTCTGTAATGGTGCAGGGCATGGTAGCCTAGGGGTGACTATTGCACAGCTGCCCCTACTTCGGCAGGGCATGGCTCTTTCGGCGTGATGGTGTTAGTGAAGGGACAAGTCGGGTCGTCATTGGTTTTTTGGGTTTTGGGGAGAGGGAGAGGAGAAAAAAAACAGGGGGGGGATGCTTCTTCTTCCCTTGCTCTCTACGCATCCAGAGAAAGATCAAGGCTTATGATGCCATTCAAAATGGCACCGTTTGCTCTCTTTTTTTTTTTTCCAGTGAAATGCATGAAATGGTGTCGTTTTGACCAAAACATGTCGTTTCATTTAAACAAAAACTAGCGCCAAAATGCATCCAATTTTATATTAGCCCTTCAATTTGCATGCTTTTTTCATCATGGTCCTTGGTTTTGAATTTCTTCAATCAAGTCCCTAATTGCCCACCAAACTTCAATATGCATGCAATTAAGCCCTTGATATGACCAAATCAACTCTAAAAAATTATAATTTGACCCCAGAACTTTAATTTCTTCCAATTAAAACCCAAATTGACTTAAAAATTAATTTTTCTTGCAATCAAACCCTCCATAAATTCAATTAAACCTCAATAAAATTTAATTGAGTCCATCAACATCCGATTTTGTACTTTTCTTCCTCAAATAAAATTTTCTTTATCAAATGGGCTCTTACTTGTCAATAATATACTATCAAATTCCCATCTTTGTATTTTTGAACCTCCTTAACTAATTTTTGACTATTTTCTATGCACTCTAGCATCCTATTTTTACTTCTATTATATTTTATATATTTTTTTTATTTTTTTATTTTCTCCTTTTTATACGAAGGACCTAAAAATGGGTTATAATAGATACCCTCTCTTTAGAATACTTATAAAGTAAAGACTTTGCATAGTAAGTTTTGTAAAGATAAATAAAACTGAACTTCCAAAACTAATCTTCTCAAAGCTTGTGTTGCACGAGTGCGGCATCGCGATGAAATATTCCACTTTTATCAGGAAATGTTTATCTATCTGGCAAATATGGGGGGACAAGAAAATCTAGTCTTTTATCGGTGGAAAATGGAATGTGAGTTATCACCTAGTATTTTAGTCAGTAGAAACCCTAACTGGTCTCAGAGATTGGTACGAGGACTGGTTGCATAAAGGAAATGTATTAACACTCCAAATACACCTTACCTAAGATAAGCTACATTGTTTATTTTTCTGATAAAATCAAAGGTCTCGTTGTGTTTCTTAGTTGTTAGTATAGTTCAAGAAAAGTCCTCCTCGGTAAGGAGATCCTTATCTAATTGGGTAATTCTGACGTTAACAAAAGAATTTAATATCTAGAATACATCTTACGTATAAGATCGTAACCCCAAATATTAAAAGAAAACAAAATAATTTTTTTTGAATTTTTTTAAAATATTGGCCTAGTTCTCATGGCTTGAATAAACTGGTTATTAAAGCCAAAATGCATGCTAATACATTTTTTTTTTATGTACACGCATAGTAACCGGGTTACTGTACATGAGCACAGTAACCTGTTAATTAATTAGCTGGTTACTGCGCTGTATAGTAACCAACTAATTATTTTCTTACTTGCAGAATATGCACAGTGCACATTCTGCATGTAAGAAGATGACCCCTAAACGGTGATAAGGGGAAGGGTTACTTGAGATGATGAGCTTGGATAGATGGGCTGACGGTGGTACTGGTGGCCAGTTTGGCGGTGGCGTTGCTGCGACCTTCTTCCTCCTTCCTGCTGTTTCACATGACTTCTTTCCAGTGATGGTGCTACTGTTATTGGCAGTGTTGATGAAAGGGAATGGTAGCGGTTCCAGGAGTGAGGCACATTTCTTCTTCTTGCAGAGGCGCTGGTTGCTGCCTTTTCTTCAATGGTGCTGCAGCGGAAGGGTGAAGTTGGTGAGCAAAACAAATGACGAACGCTGGTAGTGTTCTTGTGTTTGTATTTTCCTCCCTTTATTTCAAAGCTTCCCTATTTTCTCCCCTTCTCTTTTTCTATTTTGTTTCCTCTCTTTCTAACCTCTCACAGTGGCTCTCTTCGTTTCAAACTTCCTTCCCCTTTTAGTTTCAAAAAAGCCCTCTCTCGTCCAAAAAATCCTCTTCCTCCTCCTTCCCCCTTTTGCTGCTGGTGATGAGAGCAGTATTTATAGGCTAGAGATGAGCGGGTTGCTGTTGCGCACGGGGAGCAGGGGACACCAGGTGAGATCTCCAATGGGCGTGGCTTTGTAGGGCACGCCGATACTATTTTCTAGCCATGGGGTTTTTGGTTTTGGGGTAGCATGCGGGGTGAGAGAGGCGAAACTATTTTTGGGTTTTATTTATTTATTTATTTATTTATTTTATTTGTAGGGACCTGAATAGGTTACAACAGCTTGGTTGATATGAAACTCTGCCTTTACAGCAATCCCCTTCAACCAGTAACTGATGATCGACATTATGCACAACTGGGCTATTCTAAGATCCCGAACGGTGATCTTTAAAAATTAAAAATCTTTCATGGTTAGGCTAAATAGAGATCCCTTCGCCGATCACCTCTAACTAGAACCAAAATCCTTTGTAGTTAGGCTAAACAGAGATCCCTTCACTGATCACCTCTAACTAGAACCAAAATTTGCCAATCCCCTTTAACCAGAACCAAAATCCTTTGTTGTTAGGCTAAACTAAGATCCCTTTACTGATCCTCTTTAACCAAAACCAAAGTCTGTGTGTAGCTCAGTCAACCTGAAATCCCATTTGACGACTCCCTTCAACCAAAGCTAAAATCTTCATGTTGTGGTTAACTTGAGATCCCTTCTAGCGATCCCCTTTAACCAAAAAATGTTTCTTCTTCAAGATAATAGGATTCAAATTGAAGACTCTTCTTTATTGATCCTCTTATTTATTTGAGATTTCCTTAATGTTAGGGTTTATCTCACCTTCCTTCCGTTCTAGGGTCAAAACCATGATTCTTTGTTGTTCATCAACTCAATGATTCTTTCTTCGTCCTCATTGTTGCTGGACTACTGATTAGTACTTAAAAGTGCATTTTTATCAAGGTTTTATATTGTCATTTTGCACTTGAAGTATCAATAACTCCTTAACTAAAGCATGTTTTAGAATAACATATCTAATAATATAAGATACCCTTAATTTATGGTAAATGTTCAATTTAAATGCAGGCCTATCACATAAATGAAAGAATTGATTGATGAGTTTAAGCACTGAAATTGAAAGGACAAAGATATGACCAAACTTAGAAAAGAGATGTCGGTGTAGTCCAAACCGGAACATTGTTTGGTAATTGGGTCATATCAGGAGCTGTAGATCTCTGATTTTATATGGATGGAAAGGTAAGACATAGACCTACAAATTTCATAGGAGCCCAAGAGTTAAAAGGCCATTTTCAAGTCCAAATTGTAGCAACAACAAAGAAGTTCTAATATGTCCTACAGACCATGCATTGTTCAGTGTTTGACCCATATCTGGAGTTCTAGAAGTCCAAATGACCTCCATTTTTTTTCCTAGAAAGCTGAGACAATTTCTTACAACTTTCATGTTTTTAAGTGGTTCCAATTATGATGTCATCAATGACATTTTGGGCAGATAAAAGAAGATAAGGATTGTCACCAAGTTAAGAGTTGGCCACCCACTCATCAATTAGTCATCAAATCAATAGGTCCTAATTTTAGCCTATAAAAGGAGGCATTTGCCATGCATTTAGGCATCTTGGTCTCCGGATCAAGATTATGCTTTTGCTTTCTTTCTTTGTATTTTTGTAATGCTTAAGTTTTATTTTCATTAATATCTTGTTTATGCCTTTCATTTCCTTTCCTTTACTTAGTTACTTTTTACCTTATTTATGTTTTTATTTATTTTATTTATTTTATTTATTTTTTCTTTCTTTCATTATGTTTAGTTAAGTTTATTATGTCAAAGTGAAAAGGTTATACTAATGGTGTAAGAATAAATATAGTGTAAACTTAATATGGACTTTAATGTTTGATACTAACATTTTTATCTTTGTTATCTTGTTCTCTTTTTAATACTTTGCTTGTTAAATGACTAATCTAGATTTATGTTGTATAACACTTGATACAACAAATGCTTGGCACTTTTATAGTCTACACTGTGTGGTATAACCGACACTTGAGCTATGAAAGGAACTTGATTTGTTGTTAATATAATTTATAATCATGAATGCCTAACAAAATTTACAAGTATTTGCATTAATCGAATAAGATAACTAATGTAATGATGTTAACAATTTGTAAAATGATTGGAACCTCCTTTGTGTGTAGTTTCCAATTAAATAATAAGAGTTTATACTATATTTATTTGACATACCATTAGTGGATCCTCTAACCTTAACATTTGTTGTTATCGTTGTTTAATCCTTACGTTAATCTTTCATCTCAAAATTATCATCAACTTCTTTTTCTTTTTCTTTTTCTTTTTCTTCTTATTCTACTACTATTACTACTACTACTACTATTCTTATTACTATTAATCTTAGTATTACTACTACTACTATTGTTGTTGTTGTTGTTATTTTTATAATTTGTATAATTAATCTTCCTGTGGTTCGACCCCGATTTTGTCGAGTTATTTATTACTTCGACACTCCTGCACTTGGGAGAAGACATCAACCTTTTGGTCGTGTCAACTATAAAGAGGATTTTTTTTCTTTTAACAAATCAACAAAAATGTTTGATGCAATGCTTTGAGGTTGGATGTCATGTATGCATTCTTACCTAGTTTGAAAACATAGGTTCCATCACTTCCTTCACTTTCCATCAGACCTTGTTCACGTGCTTGAAATGGCATGCTGGATCCATTTCCCTTGATGTCTCCTCTTCCCATCACATCTTAGGGAACAAATCCCCAAGCTTTTTCGTTAGGTGACCCTTTTTCAAAAAAAATAAATGCATGATTTATCATTGCTTTTTATCATGCTCTTGTCATTGCTTTAATTTGTCTTTCTCAAATTAAGGGCTTTTTGGTTCTGATTCCTGCAAAAAAATCTTTCCCAGAAAAAAAATCTTTTGAAGACTTGAATTTGCTCATGACAACTGAAACTTTCAACATACGCATCAAAAAATCTTTTCAGCAATTCCTATTGAGGGTTTTATCGATTTCTGGAATGCGGTTTGTCTTTAGGTCAGGCTTTTATCAAAGGTGACCTTCTATTTAATCCTTTCAAAAGGTTTTAAGTATCTATTTGAAAAGGCTTTGTAGAAAAAGGAATTGTCTCATTTAGCCTTTTTCTTGTATGGATAAAAGCGGATTATCACTCATTTGTTAAGTTATGTGAGTTATAAAAGCATCGTTTATTAACCCAAGTTATGTGCGCTTGATCATTTTTAGCATTTTCAACGTCATCTCAAAAGAATATAAATTTTCAAAGGTATTTATCAAAGGTGACCTTCTATTTAATCCTTTCAAAAGGTTTTAAGTATCTATTTGAAAAGGCTTTGTAGAAAAAGGAATTGTCTCATTTAGCCTTTTTCTTGTATGGATAAAAGCGGATTATCACTCATTTGTTAAGTTATGTGAGTTATAAAAGCATCGTTTATTAACCCAAGTTATGTGCGCTTGATCATTTTTAGCATTTTCAACGACAGCAAGAAAAGGAACCTTAAAAAAAAAAAAAACTAAAACCCTTTTCCCCTGCAACCACCACCCTTGAAAACGAAGCCGTTGCCCCCATCATCAAAAAAAACTTTTTTTCCCCGACCGCTTACGATTGCCTTCGACTTTACCTATTGGGCCAGCCATCCCCCTCTCATTTGACAACAAAAACCACCAAAGCAAAAGGGAGAGAAGTCGCCGGCCCCCATTGTCTGGGATTTGTTTTTCTTCCAAGACCAGTCGGCCACCCCCCCTTTATCAAAGACCAGAGAACATGACCGGGAGCCCGACCATTTTTGTTTCCTCTTCTTCCCCTACAGAACCTAGCCATTCCCCACAAGCCCTCTTCCTCTATTTTTCTCCACAATAGCCGATTACAAGTCCTCCCTTTACTGCTCCCAGGCCGCCGCTCCCTTAGAAGAAGAAAACCAAAGCTTTCCCTTCCCTTCAGCCCCAAAACAAACAAAAAATTGGCTCTGATTTCCTTTTTCTTCTTCTCCATTAGCGACTGAACCAGGTCGCCTTTTTTATTCGTTCTCTAATAGCAGCAGCCAAGACAGCAACCACCGCACTCCTCTTCCTTTGTTTTTCTTCCCCAAAATTGTTCCCCTGCTTTGTGATTTTTGCTCCAAAAGCCAGCTAGTCGCGCCCCTCCTCTGGCCGTCGTTCTACCTCGCAGCCAAGGGAACACTGCAACCCATCGATATAGGAGGCCAGCCCCGCAGCTATTCCTTTCTTCCTTAGCCCGAATAGAGCGGCAACCCCGCTGTCCTCTTCCTAGTCTTCTCTTAGTTCCACCACAACAACAGCAACAACAACCCGGCAACGCCAACAGATCAGCAGCCCTTTGGTCACACGCCGGCCACCTGAAGTGAAGGGGACAAAGATATAAGCCAAAGAAAGATCTGTTGTGGAACAGATCTAAAAATGGTGGAGAAGTAGATCGGAAAAAAGGAGAACCGAAAACTACTTGTGTTTGTTGGTTTGCCTTGCAGGTGGCTGGGATATCCACCGCCGATACGATTGGGAAGAGAACAAAGAGACAACTCCAGGTCACCAGTTTGTTGGTCTATGCCGGTGACGGCACGTGGATCCATGATCCACCATTAGTGGTGGTGTGTGAGATCCACGAGCAGCCAGGGCAATATAATCTAATTATTGAATAGTGTTCCGGTTTGGACTGCACCCGCATCTCTTTTTTAAGTTTGGTCATCTCTTTGTCCTTTTAATTTCAGTTTTTAAATTCATCAATCAATCCTTTCATTTATGTGATAGGTGATTAGTACTTAAAAGTATATTTTTATCATGGTTTTATATCATCATTTTGCACTTGAAGTATCAATAACTCCTTAACTAAAATATGTTTTATAATAATATGTCTAATAATATAAG